GAGCGCCTGTCATGGGCAGCCCACTCTGACATCTCTCCACTTAGTGCATGTATAGGTCCAGTTTGTGCATGTGTGTGTTCGGACCTGTGTGTAATTGACAACAGAGTGAAAAATTGAATTTCCCCTCTGGGATTAATAAAGTATATAAAATTAAAATAAAAATTAAAATTAAATTAAATTAAAACAGAAAAAAAGACATTTGCAGGGTAAATTCAGTAATAGATAATTAATTGTAATGCCACCTCGTGTGTATCATTTAGTGTTTGCAGGTGCTGCAGAAACTGACTTACAACGCTCGCGTCTTCCAGTCTACAAACTACATCCATGAGCTCATTGCTTTTCTTATGACTAACATGTAAGTATCCCACCTGTCAATATGATTTAATGAATAACGGATGTGTTTTTGACATTCACGTAACCATTTTACTTTGGGTCTTGTGCCACAGCCAGTCTCACAATGACAACATCATCATGCCATGCCTTGGCCTCATGGCCAACCTGTGTCGAGACAACCACTCAGTGCAGAGTTACATCAAGTCTCTGGTGAGTCTGACTGAATACAGTTATTAACACTGAATGACTATCTGTGTGTGAGGATGAGAATGAACATGTTCAATAGCATTTTATTTTGACAGCATCACAGAATGGTTAACAGATAATATCTGCCGAACACTAAAGTTTAGAGCTAAAACAATTAACTGATCAGTACATCATCAGAACATTAATTTGGAACTGTTTTAATAATCGAAATAAGAAATAAAACATTGCTGCATTTATTGCTTTTAGGTGATAGTCAATGAAATATTAATTTCTGGGTTTTTGACTGCTGATCAGACAAAATGAGACATTTGAAGACGTCACTCTGGACTCTGGAAAACTGATTTCCAGAAATGCAAACAACATTATAAGGCTTTTTAATTTATCTGTTTTTTTAAACCTCAGCTTTTGTTATATTGATTATCAATGCAGGCCTGCAGAAAATGAACTTAAAAATTCATATAAAAGCCCCATGTCAAAAACTTTGGTGTGATATTTGATTTGCCTTCAAGCAGGAGTAAAAGCCAACTTTTTCCAGCTTTGTACTGTTGCCAAAATCAAGTCCTTTCTCTCATTCAAAGATCTTTTAGAAAGTCATCCACACCTTTATATCCTCTTTGGCAACTGCAACTTCCTGTATACTGGGATGAGTCAGTGAGTCATCCCTTTCCCACCTGCAATTCATCCAGAATGCAGCCACCAGGCTCCTGACAGGCACGTGGAAGAGGGACTATATTACCCCGATTCTGGCCTCCCTCAATTGACTGCCAGTACGGTCCAGATTGATTGCGAAGTTCTCCTGTTTGTCTATAAGGCCCCTCAGGTTAGCTGACTATAGGTTTTTGTGTGTCCAGTGAACTTAAAGTAAGGCTCAGGACTGACCATGCCTTTGCTATTGCAGCCTATAGACTGTAAACAGCAACATCCCCCTCCCTATTAGATCTGTCCCTCCACTGACTCTTTTAGGTCCACGCTAAAAACATACTGTTACTCAGTAGCGTTTAAATCCTTTTGTCTTTTTTTTGTGGTTTTTAGCTACCGGCTGTGGTGGCGTACAGCAGTTTAATCAACGTGGGTTGTTTTCAAATGTGCTTAAGAAATAAATCTGACTTGTCTTGTTATAAGTATAGAGATTAAACAAAAACAAGCAACAACAGAAAAACAATGGAATAAGAAATAAAGGCTGAGTGAAGTTTCAGTTTCCAGTCATGTCAGAGGACAAAGAAATATTTCAAATGAGCGGGTGCAATTTTCTTTCAAGTTTCTATCTGTAATTTCCCTCTGTATTTGCATGTTGCAGAGCATGTGAGCGGAGTGCAGCAGAGAGAATTTCCGATCTCACTTACATTGCTGTTTGTTTTCTCCGGTCCCCCACTGAGTGCCATTGTGCTGGATATCGCTCCACGCTCACCTCAGATTTTCCCTGCGTCACTGAAATTGCTCACTGCTCGCTCCAAATAAACCCCAAAAAACTGTTGTGTTTTGATTTTGGCTTAAACACAAACCAGAAAAATAAACACAAGCTCAGCAGATTCGTCTGATTAAATTAATGGTCTGAGCACTACCAGAGCAATATGGAGAGGGATGGAGCAGTAGATAAGGTGACACTTCAACTTTTTTAAAGAACCTGCTCTGTGCTTTATCCAAAATCCATCCACTCTCACTCCCCGAGCCACTCACATGCTCTGGCATGTTTTTACTGTAACAGAAAAGGATATCCAGCCAGTATGTAGGTCCTGGATCTTTAGGGATCAGTACCAATATTGCAGTCCCGTTTACTTTTCAGTGCAACATTTTTTTACAAATCTAATATCTGCTGTCAGCCAAGTGACAGGAAAATGTGTATTTGGAGTACGTCAGCTTTTTTCTTGTGTGTTAATATGTGTGTTTGTATTCACGTAGGACAATGTGAAGCCATTCTACCGTACTCTGATCAACTTCCTGGCTCACAACAGTCTGACTGTGGTGATCTTCACGTTGTCCATCCTGGCCAGCCTCACTCTGAATGAGAGGGTTGGAGAGAAGGTAGGTGGGAGACACACACTGCAGGTGGGATCTGCTCAAATTTATATAATTATTGAACCACAGCGGTGCAGCTGGGCTCAAAATATTGAGTTAGTCTGTTTTTCTGTGGGCCCTCTGCAGTGTTGCTCAGTGGTTAGATTGAATAGGTTTAAACTGTGATTTATCAGCTTATAGTATGTTCAGCTCATATTCAAACAGTGCTCACTCTGGACTGACCTGTTTTGAAAGTGTCGTTTGAAGAAGAGCTTAGCTTAAGTTAATTCCAGCTTGTTACAGGCATTACTGTGCACTTGACACTGAATCATGAATCTGTTCCTAATTAAATCTGCCCCTTTTGATGCTGAGCTTTAAGTTTCTTTTACCAGTGACTTCTGATTTCTTCCATTGTTATGCAGCTGTTCTCAGAGAGATCTTTGTCTCTTTCAGTTGTCAGTCTGGTTGAACCATTGTGCAGTGTTTTGTTCTCCATGTACAAAACAAACCCTTCATACTAAATAACATCTATTTGTAAAGATGACTGTCTACAAAAAGCATCAAAGAACATCATCTCACATATCTGACTGGACACAGTCAAGCTTTTGTGGCAGGAGACTGCAAACTTTTGAATGGCAGTGTATGTTAAAATACTGCTGTTTTCTTTTTGTCAATTAGCAGTGTTGCCCTGTCACAATCTACAGTTATCTATGCTGTTCGGCCAGTAGGACTTTGCAACCCTTTAGATAAACCACTTATTAACATTGTATAGTTCTCACTCATGACAAAAAGTGATTGTGTTCATTTTAATTTGCAGTTCCTTTCTTTTTAGTATATGTTTGGTTTTTTGGTAAATGACGGGTTTTTTTGGTTCCATCTTTCTGTTTGTTCTCCTTTTCACATCAGTTTTTTATTTCCACTGTGAAAATAAATAAACAAACTTGTTGTAAACACATTTCTTAAGGAAGTATTTCACAGCTGGAAATATGAGCTTTTGATAAAATTAGTCTGTGTATGAAGTAGAAAGACACATCCTTCTGAAACTGGCACCATATGACCAGAGACCAAGGGCTGTGGCATTTGCATTTGCTCAAGAGGTAGAAAACCTACAATTGCTAAAATTTACTGTGCCACACCGGACCAATTAAGTTAACACTCATGCGGGCTGGTGATGTAATGTCACTTGGTTGTTTTGGCACAGAAAACAATATGGCAGTTAGCTAAAATATGTTTCTGAGGACATTTTAGGCAAGAAATAGGCAACACAGTAACAGGACTCGGTATCGGCAGGTTCTCAATACTAAATGAGTAAATGAATATTAAATGACGGGAGCAAAAAGCCTTATCTGGGACATCCCTTAACACAACAGTCTACAACATCGTCACATGCTTGGAGAAAATACTGTTGGAAGAATTTAATTAGATTCTTTATTACACCATGAATTAAGAGCAAATATCTGTCTATAGCACAACCAAGTTGGAGGAGAAGTGGGGCAGTAAATCATACTAGGGCTGACCTTCGAATCCATTTATGGACATTCGAAGCTTCGGAGCTCGTTTGGGGAGGGGGTTAAAAAAAAAAAAATTATGGCAAAAACGTAGTTTCTTCCAACACTACAATTAAGATAAAAATATTCACAAACGAAAAAACACTAATGGTCGGTGATAAGTAGTGTTTAACTTTTGATTGAACACTAAATTAAAACCCTCGGCGCACATTGCAGCACAATCAAACAGATGCGCAGCTCAGAGCATCAGAAGTGTCTCTGACACCAGACTCAGATCGGACCGGTGGAACTGGAAAATGCATATTTTACATCAATAAAATCTATTTTATCATTATTTTGAGTCACATTGTTGAAAGAATTTAGTCGTCTGTGTTCAAGCAGGATAATAGCAGGTCTCCATTGTGCGTCGGGCTTTCTATTTCCTTGTCAGAGATTTTTTCTTTTTTAATTACTACTTACGTTTTTCAAGTGATTTCCCAAATTTGTTGTTGAGTTGTGATATGCCAGTTGCTTTTGGCAAATCTGGCACTCTGCTTTCTGGGGGTTGTCAGGGCATATTTTAAAGTGCAACCACACATCTGCCAGCTCTGAGTGCGCTTGTTGTCAGAATCGGACTGGTGGGGGTGAGTGTTGCGTTTAAGTCCTCCTCCAAATAAATGAAAAAAAAAGCGCAGAAGCTTTGAATTTTTTTTTTTTTTCACAGTCGAATCCCGTGCCATCGAACGAAGCTTCGAAGCTTCAGATTTTTTGGGTCAGCCCTAAATCATACTCATGTGTTTTGGCTCCGTCCTGAAATTGTACAGTTTTGGGTAGTCTCTTAAACAGACGCCGATGACGTCAGCACGCTGGCTGACTCTGTCGTCTGTGGACATTCCCATAGGAAGGTTGTAATAGAACTAGCGCTGGCTCCCAGCGGCAGTGATGTGATTGCATCCAAATCCGTGTACTTCCGTACTTCCTCGACCAACGGCTGATTAGTCAAGAGTTCAAAAACTTCCAGCGCACACTAGAATATCAGGATTGACACAAAGTTTATTCAAAAATGTTTAACAACAAAAGGAGCGAACAACGAGTTTCGCTTGTTGCGTCATCAGATTCGCTCTTGATTGTCATCAGGTGTGTGCTTAAATAGTCAGGGCAAGTAACAACCAGACAATCAATCAATCAATGAGAAACAAATACAAAGTACATAACCTAGCTATAATATTAAAGGGAGAGTGCATACAATATAAATAGAAATAGATATCAAAACAGTGATACAAGAAAATACTTTACAATTGCACAGTTCATCATCCGACAAGATTCAACTCTAATTTTGAAGTAGAGTGTGAACCATATAAATAGTATAGATCAAAAAAGAGAGAAAAAAAAATTGTTTATACATACTTGTAATGATGAGATATAAAAATGCAAAATACATAATCTGGCTGTACCAACTCATATAAACAGGGGAGAGTGAGTACAGTATAAATAGTCAAATAGTCAAAATTTTTTTTTTTTTTTTAGAAATACATATCAAAAACAAGTGGGCCAATATAAGAGATATAAACAAAAGAGGAGATACTCCAGAAGTTACAAAGGTTATTCCACAATCTACAATATCTACTCTAGCATTCCTGTCTGTGCGCTGGAAGTTTTTGAACTCTTGACTGTGATTTATCCTGCACCAGCTGGCACCTAGAAGAAGCACTGCGCCGCTGTGCACAGGGATTTACTATTTTTTTGTACAACGGCTGATTAGCTTTGCCTTACACCCGCCTACATCCGAATTGCTGTTCCCCGAATTGTTGTCCGTAGTACAACAGAAAAGGAAGTGTTCAGTGCATCGCAAGAAGAGATTAAAATGGATGTGATTTCATTTGATTCCTGCTATATTGCAGAGCTGCAACATCTCTGTTACATGTAACACACGTGCCACACCTATGGCAACGCCGTCACGTGGTCTGGATGTCCCCACCCATTTCTATTACAGAACGAAAGACAAATGTCCCCAGACTCCCATTCCGAAGTAAGGGAGGCTGGTCACGCGAGACTAAGTTTTGGGTAAATGTATGTACAGTTATTATCAAAATTCTAGGCTATGGCATATCTAGATCATGCATGGTATTGTATTTTGGTTATATGACACTAGGACTTGGGTTAAGAGAGGGCAGGTATCTACTGAAAATCGTGTTGGCAGCTTCTAAAAAGGCCACCACAAAGAAATGGTACAAAGCAGAACCACCAACGCAAGATAAATGGCTAAAAATTTTGAAATAGATATATGATATGGAACTGTTGACTGATCAGATAAGAGCTCAAGAGGAGAGATGTCAAGAGAAATGGGAGAGATGGGCAACGTTTGCATGTCAAACAACATAAGAGACTAAACCACTGAATATGTCACAGGGATGAGCAAGTTTTGTGAGACAGGGCAATCTGGATCTTTTTGTTAATTTTTTGTTTTGTTTTATACTCTTTTTTCTTCTCTACCCTTTAATAAGGTTTTAGTAAAAACAATCAAATTAAAGTGTTAAAAAAAGAAAATGCAGAGGTACAATCTGTAGTTTGAGCAACAGCCCTAGAGTCAGCTCAGATCCGCTGGATTATACAAAACTACAAGGTATCCCCTGATGCCAGTCATATTCATCCTCTTTGTTCGTGTCTATATGTTTTTTTTCCATCAGCTCTTTGATGCAAAGAACATCCACCAGACTTTTCAGCTTGTGTTCAACATCATTGTGAACGGCGACGGCACTGTGACAAGAAAATACTCTGTCGACCTTTTGGTTGATTTGTTGAAAAACCCCAAGATAGCAGATTACCTTACCAGGTACACACACACACACACACACACACACGTACGTTTCTAACATAGAGCGCTTAATCTCAGTGTTTTCTTTAAGGCTCTGTTGACCTGACTGTGAATTAAAACCTTCTTTTTTTCCTTTCAAGGTATGAGCACTTCTCAGCATGTGTGTCTCAACTTCTAGGACTGCTGCAATCAAAAGACCCCGACTCTGCAGCAAAGGTGCACACCCCATTATACA